TGAGATGTTTAGATCGACAATTTTGAATAATAGCCGATTTTATTTCATGGTCTACATCGTGGAATTCACAGTGAGCTGCTAGTTTGCGAAGTCGTGTTGCAAATTGGTCTGTTGGTTCATCGGCGTTTTGCTTTGCTTGACGGAATTGAAATATCTCGTAATCCACATTTTTCTTCGGGGAAAAATATTCGTCCAATTTCTCAATTGCAGTCTTGTAATCATTGTCCTCTCCTGTCTCTGAAAGTGTATCGAAGATTTCCTGTGTTGCCTCACCGGCTTGATAAAGTAACAATGCTCGTTTCTGGGCATTATCTTTCACATTTACCGCGACTAAATACGTTTCGAATCTGCGTTTCCAAACTTTCCATCGTTGACTTAAGGATGTCGGTTCTGATATCGGATCAAACGGAGCAAGAGGAGCTACATCTATCTTTCCCGCAGTTGCCATACTAAAGGACTGATATCGATTATAACTTTCGTTTTAGCACATTTTTCCTCGTCGCCATTGTAATGTTGTACTTATTTATTCAACGCTCAATCAATCACTAATGTGAACACACCCTAAAACTATATATAAATGTTATTGTATCACATGTCTATCATGTGATCACTGCACGCACGACGTCTAAACCGGGCCTTAGCGGCTCTGGGGGTTTCCTCAGAGCAATTATACGGAAGTATGCTTGATATATGTTTAGAAATTGCACGAAAATCGAAAGGAGACGTAAGGGAAATCGATGACTTGTTAGATACTATAAAAATCGAGATAGAGGCGAGGGAAGTCAGCGAGGGGGTGTGGTCAACTCCACAACAATCGGGTAAACGACCCGGGGGTCAATTAACCGTAGGGGCGTTTGTTACAAAGGGCGGTAATTCTGAAAAATTTCAAATACGGTGTGTTTATTGCGAAGAGCTGCACTACTCTGCTTCATGTGAGAAGGTAGTAAGTAGCGAAGATCGAAAGACGATATTAAGAAATTCGAAGTGCTGTTTCTTCGCAAGGGAAACCTTGCGAATGTTTGTCCAAATGCTAAAAAATGCCGATACAAAACACCATCAATCAATTTGTCCTAACAACTCGAACTCGAAAACTGAGCAAAAACAAATGGAGGACAAAAATGCGAGCGAAACAAACAAGGACGGTGAAGCAAGGACATTAACTGGAGTATGTAAGGGCAGCGTCTCGCTGCAAACTGCGAGAGCTGTTGCGACTGATGGTACTAGGTCAAAGCCCGTGCGCATTTTACTCGACACTGGTAGTCAGCGGTCGTACGTTACTAACGATCTTGCTAAGTAACTAAAGCTAACACCACTGAAACGAGAGACATTGCATTTAAACACATTTGGAAACAGCCAAACAAAACGTACGTGAAAATTGTGAAATTTTCAAGTTCAATATTCGAAGTACGAGGGGAAATGAGAGCGTTGAGCTTAGAGCAATTAGCTTTCCGACCATTTGTTCGCCTGTCAGTTCTGTGATAAATGGTCAATAATTACCCACATCTTCAGGGGCTAGAGCTTGCAGATTTCGATGCAAACGGAACATGCAATGATAACATTGACGTACGTACTAGTCGGTGCCGATTTCTATTGGAGCATAGTTACTGGAGACGTTGTTCGAGGAGATATAATAGCTCGACAATTATTAGTAATAAACTAGGGCGGCTCTTGTCTGGACCTTCAACACAGAATCTGCCTACGAGTCTACAACGAGCAATATTGAGCTGGAGAATGTATCGACAACTCCCACGCGCAGCCTGACAGCAATGGTGACCTAACAACTGCGCTTTCACGTTTCTGGGAAACCGAAAGTATCGGAATTAAGTCGATTGAGGAAGGAGGTAGCCCGGACGGGAGCAATTTCTTGAAAGATATACGATTCACTCGAGAACGTTGCGAGGTTGGATTGCCATGGATTGAAGATCGACCTGAAATTGGAAATGATTTTGATCTGTGTTACAATCGTTTAATAATGTTGCTTCACCGAAAATTAAAGAAACAGCCAGAGCTGCTGTCAGAGTATAACAAGTGCGTCGAAGATCAAATCCAGGCAGATATCTTGGGAAAGGTTCCGGCCGCAGAAGACAACAAGAATCAAGAGAGTGTGCATTATCTTCCGCATCATGGAGTTATCCGAAATAACAAAGTCACGACCAAGTTACAAGTTGTCTATGACGGTTCGGCAACGACAGCTGATCGAGAACATTCGCTTAATGACTGTTTGACGACCGGGCCTAATTATATTCCTCAGATTTTTGAAATGCTTGTAAAATTCAGACCTTAATCGTGTTGCATTGGTGGTCAACGCGTTAAAGAAAGCGAAGCAACATGATAAAAGATCGAGAGATTTGAAATTTCTGTCAGCGTCAGAAATCGAACAGGCCGAAATTATGTGGTTGTGTTCTGTTCAAGAATTGTCGTTTGCGAAAGAATCGGAATTTCTGCAACGGAATGTGCAGAAATCACCGCCACAATGTGTAACACATTTCGGGTTGTATACGGATGAAAGTCTCGTTATACGATGTAAGGGTCGACTCGACAATTATTCCTTAGGCTTGGGAAGCCGACATCCAATTCTACTTCCTTTTAAACATCGTTTTGTGGAATTGTTAATCCGAGAGGTTCATGAACAAGTAAAGCATAATGGTATGCGAGACACTTTGACTACAGTACGCGAACGATTTTGGATCATAAGGGGAGAGAATCGGTAAAAGGAATAATTAAGGATTGCGTCGTGTGTCGTAAAGCGGAAGGACTACCATATAATTATGGACAATCCGCAGATCTTCCTTCTTGTAGGGTATCAGACGATCCACCATTCCCAAACGTGGGCCTAGATTTTGTTGCATGGGCCATTGTATGTACAAGATAAGAAGAACGAACTTGACGAGAATTCAAACAAAGTTTACATTTTGTTGTTCACCTGTGCGTCAACTAGAGCGGTACATTTACAAATTACGCCATTCTTAACTGTGAAACCATTTTTGAGAGATTTACAAGTCGAAGGGGATCACCGGCGCTTCTTCTATCAGATAATGCAAAAACGTTTAAAGCTGCCTGTGTGTAAGGTAATTCGTCGATTGTGTCGAGCTGAGGAGGTGTGGCGTTATCTGGCCAACAAGAAAACATCGTGGAAATTTATCATCGAGAAAGCTCCGTGGTGGGGCGGGTTTTGGGAGAGACTCGTAAGAAGTATCAAGGACCACTAAAGAAAGTAATTGGAAGAACAAGCCTTAGTTTCGATGAACTCCGAACTTTGGTTGTGGAACTTGCGGGCTTATTGAATGCACGTCCCATAACCTACGTCTATGATGACACCGAAGCTAATTCAAGCTATCTCGTATCCACTCGCACCGTCACATCTAGTCTATGGACGACGAATTACTATTATTAAAGGTTTATTAAATATATAAAATTGCACCAAGGTGAAATACTTTATATTTACATAATAGGATGCTTTAAGTATACTGCTATTTGTCCTACGTACATACATTAAAATTTTAAGACAAGTTATGAACTATTATAGTTGACTATATAACAAACATACTTGCAGGTTCGGTGAGTCCGGGATTGGACGCACCTCGGGTGGCTGGAAGTTTCCCGAACTCACCGAGCGAAATTTATCACATGCTATTTCGGTAAAATACTAAAAAATACTGAAGAATTTTATACGCATTTTACTTTTTTGTATATAATTTCGTGTTTGGATAACGAACATTTTAGCCACCAATACACTACGCAAACAAACAAACTTAGGCCTAAATTAAAGCTAACAAATTCTCTATAATACTCCCTTATACTTGAAAAGAGAAAATGAACACATTCTGCGAAAACAATGCCAAGATTTATATAAACCTGCTCGTGCCGAACAAATTTCGGCGCCATATCTTTCTTTTTTCCACTTTGAATACAGAATATTCCATTTTCATCACACAAAATAAAAAATAATAATTATAAAACAATTAAAAACAGTTAATTTATTTTTTTATTTAAATCTTCATCTGAAATTTGTTTAAATCGCTTCATAATAGCCGCCGCCAAAACATCAATCTCGAACCCACCTCCTAAACTTACGTCAGCAGGTGGGTTCGAGATTGAACGCACCTCCTCGTAGCCAATAGGAAAGCCGAGATAATAGATATTGTTAGAATATTGACTATTTGTATATATACTATTTGTCTTACATACATTAAATATTAAGACAAGTTATAAATGTCTATTACTAGGGGTTACTATCGCAAGGAAAGTGCTGCTTTGGATCCACAGGCAAATACTAAAATGTTACCCTGGTTTCAGAGGCTCTTTGCGAGGCGAAATCTTTCCTCGCAAAGAGCCTCTGGAACCAGGGTACTAATTCTTTTCATTTGGGTAAAAATACATTACATGTACCCGTACAAAGAAATACGGTATGTATGATTTATTTCGTTGGAAAAATTGAGATTACAGTTTGAAGGACAACACAACCAATTAAGTCGTGTACAACCATGTTCAACAAAAGAATAATATCAAAATAGCCATAAAGTGTCTTGAGACTTGGATCTCTGACGTAACAGAGGGGTAGAAGTTCCAATGGCAATCTCTCTGTATACGTCATTTCTCAACGATCTATTTCTTTGTGATATTCCAGCTATAACATACATATTTTTTTGAAGTAACAATCCATAGAATATTTTATTTTGGACATTTTACTACTAAGGTTCCAATGACCAAATGTTATCTGATGGCATGTTCTGTTCGGTTTTTGGTACGGTGAAGTAAGTTTGATATAAATCCATTGAAATATCAACATCCATATAACAGCGATGAAACACAATGGCAGCATCTCTCCAAAACCATTTTGATGCAAATTACACAATATTACGAGAGAAATAGATAATTTCTTTTAGCAGATTCCATTCTATTAGATATTAAGTAACATATCCATGGTGTATATTTAATTGGTGACAATCCATTTCTGTGCAATATTCCAGCTCTCAAGGTGGCACATGTTGGTGTAATTGATTGAAAAGTGTTCCAGTACGAGTTCCAAAACTGTAAAAAAAAATATATTAGTATATACTGTAAATTCATAAAAACATGTGCCGAGTCTGGTATTCCTTCAGAATTTTCAAAAGGAGTGTGAAGGTCTGACAATACCATCCACTCTTCTCGAGTTACCTCCTGCTCTTGAGAAGGTTCATCTTCACGTTCTTGACTTTGAATGACATTTTGCAATTTGTCAAACCAATCTGGGACATTAGATTGCCCATAAGATGTTTGCAAGAATTCATACCAATAATTTATAAGGGCCTCGTCAGTTGGTTCCTGATCACCCCATGCATTGTTTTGGGTCGTTCTCCAGGGTTTATACCTTAAAAGTTGATATTTGCATGCAATAAAGACCAAAATTTGGACCTTTAGGAGCTCTTTACATTTCTTCGCGTTTATGCACCAGTCAATGTAACCCCC